TAGTAGGCTATAAGTAAGAAGTGTGTGGATGAATACCATAAGCAGCACTATGAACCTATGAGTCGTTACCTCCATAGAGGCATTTTGTTTTTATTGCCCAGGCTTTATAGGAAATGCTTTTCAGATCTTCTCACTTCACCATCTGACAACGGCCCTGTAGCACTTTTCAAGTGCTCATTCCAAGGCCACAAACTGAGTAGATCAGCCAGACTTAAGAAGTGGAGTGTTTGCAACGTGGTGCTGCAAGACAACAGCATGACTACGAGGGTGACAGCATCTCCACGATCTGAACAACCAGCTCACTGGGAAAATCTCAGATCTTCCCGTTTTCCAAAACAATCTGGCTGCAGACCGGCACTGTGAAGTGGCCTTGACTGTCAGGACTGGACGTTTATTCTGGATTTTTATTCAAAACCTTCCAACTAAACAAATTTGTGCATATTTAGCATTTAAATGCAAAAACGCTTCTGGTATACTTACTTTTATTTTAAAAGGCTTTGAATCAATATTGCATTTATTTTGAAAGGTTTCAAATAAATGTCCAGCCCTAACAGTGCGGGAGACCTTACAGTGCAGGTTTGCAGCCAGATGCAAGCTGGAAAAAAATTCTAAATCTACATAAATCATTTTTTCTTTAAAAAATGCTTTTTTTCAATTGAGGAGGTTAAGTGAGACACTTTGCCAGTGGAACAAGTCAATTTACATATAAAATAAGAAAAAAAACAATTGCTTTGTCTTATTTCAAGTGCACATTATCTACTTATCTTATTTCAAGGGTAAAAACACTTATTCAGTTGGCAGATCATAATATTTATCTGCTCAAATTAAGGGTGAATACATTTAATTTTAGAAATGTTGACTGTATATCATAAACCTGCTGACAGGAGATACTAAACGGATTCAGTACGTTTTGCCTGATCAAGGTTTAAATGTAAGAAAAAATTATTGCAATTCATTAATAAACTAATTTTTCTAACCCCTTGACTTTTTACTTTTGTGCACAGGATAAAATCTAAAAAGAGATTTTTTTTGTGCCTGTTCTGCAGTCCTATGACTTAAGGCAGGGACCCCCAAAAAGAGCACTATCACATTTTAGGCAGGCTCCACCTCTAACAGATCACACTGCTGCCTTCAAGGCCTTGAATGAACATCAAAGGCAACCATGCGGTTTTAGCATTCCTGTCAAGAGTATTACAACCACTGGAGCCTCCCTTCCTCTCAAGGAGCTCTGCACCACACATTTCCCCAACCATGTTTCATGAAAACAGTCAAGCGGGACACAAAAGCTTCCCATGTTTCATTCGGTTTGAGTTGTCATTCTCAATGTCCCTACTGCTTTACGTGGCTTGTGTACCTCCTGCAGGCAAAAAGGGGGTCCTGTGAATAAGGAGGCAGAGAGCCAGAGGTGGAGATAACTCCAAGGTGCGCATCAGTGACAGTGTTGCTGGCTGCTCTGCGCAAAATATTATTTACAGCTCACACTGAGGAGAAATTACAGGAGCAATCCTCTTCAGAAGCAGGAAAATCAGCTGACCTGGCAACACTGAGAATGAGGCTAGGAGGAGGGTCAGGCACTATAATTATTATATTGCCTCTCTTTCTTCACTGTCAGTATCTATACAGCTCACACAGCTGGCAGAGGAATCTAGCCACCAGTGACAACAAGTTACTGGTGCATTAGTGAATGATAAAGTGGCAGTAAAGTGGCTTTAGCATTTATAAACTGTGGCTTTCAGAAGGCGTTCTGATTATTTACCGATGAGGTTCCAAAAAAAAAAATTACAGTGATCAGGATGTGAACTTTAAAACGCGACGAAAAAAATAGCGCGACATGAAATTTGAAGTTAAAGTATTTTATGGAAATATCTAATTTTTTATGAGGAAAAGACAGGGATATAAAGCAGGAGAAAGAGTCTGAAGAGTGATTAATCCACCTGTTGGACATATAATGATGGAATAAATCACCTGTTCTTTATCAACTTTTTGTCTACAGGAAATAGGTAATTCAAGCATTAAAAGGAAGTAATTACGAGCCTACAGTTGACTTTCAGAGGGCAACAGAAAGTCATCATGAAAATTACCTTATTTTCCACTAAAAACTTTGTGACTATATCAATAAGGGCTTTGACTAGAGCAATGCGGTGTCACAGGGGTTAACTGCCACAGTCACCATACAGACACAGCTGTCACAGGTTCGAGCCCTGGCCGGTTGACCTTTGCTGCAGGTCTTCCCCCGCTCTCTAATCCTATTTCCTGTCTGCCTACTTTCATAAATAATAAAATAAAGGCCACTGGAGCCTAAAAATAATGTTTATAAAAATAATGCCTTTGACTCACTGCCTGTCTGTCTGCTGCTTTTAAAACCTTTGCAATGATTTTTAGTATGAAGGTATAATTAAAAGAAGCAATATACCGTTAGACCTTTGTTAATAGGGCAATAATTTATAAATGACCTAGTCTTTTCCAAACAAATTCTTAGCAGTGCTACATGCTCACCCAATGCTTGAATGTAAAAGGCAGTAAAACTCAAGTTTCTGAAACACCAAGTTTAAAAAAACCCTCAAGACGGTGTAAGCTAAAGCTAGCTGTTATTAGTTTGAAGGACACAAACAAGCTATTGACGAGGTTAGTTTTCCAGGAATGCTGCGATAGAAATCAAAGCAGGCATGTGGTATTAGCTGACTGCTTCGTAAAATAAACAAGCAACGACACAAACCAGTGCATCCTGCTGCAAAGCTGTTGCTTGGGTTAATCAGTAGAGAAAATGTTATTCTAATTGACCAGAAGGACCCTCTCTGTGATGGGTCAGAGCCTCCAGAATACAGGCCTGAGGTTGACCGGGCAAGGACGTGGTGGTCGGATTCCTCCTTGAGGGCCTCAGCCGGGCCGAACCCCAAGGACCACTGAAAGGCCATCCCCTGGCGGGCAGCAGGGAGTGCAGGAGGTTGAGCTTTACCAGCTAGGACTAGTAGGACTAATCTAAAGAGCATAGCCTATGGTCTGGAACCCAACTCTTCAGGGAATCCTGGACCCTCTTCTGCTCAGGAGAGGCCGGCAGGGAGAGACACAGGACAGATGGGGAAAGGGGGGTCCTTCAGGAGGACTGCTGGACAGTGCCCTTCCTGAGGATTCCATCTATCTGCTTGGAGACTTCAACACCCATGTTGAAAACTACAGTGAGAGCTGGAGGAGTGTGACCAAGAGGAACGGAACAAAGTCTCTGCTGAGACTGTAGCCCCCGCAACCCAGTCCCAGATAGGAGGAAGACCACAAGTATGAGTGACTTCAAATAAACTTGGCTTCCTACATGATATTAACACTTATGTTATTTCTCTGAGAGAGGACAGAATGCTGTAGAGGGCTGAAACTGACGAACAACTTGCCCTTTAAGAAAACTCTTTACCTAAAGTAATAGTGGAGGATTTTCGCAAATTTTTCAAAAGACCCGCCTTCTCCAAGGGCAATTATGTTAGTGGTTCAACAAGCAACATGGAACCCCAAAAAATCCATAACTGCCATCCAGACACAGGTATGGAGTTTAAAAACCATGATGCAATGGACAACATGTGCAAGAGCCATCATGGAGTCAATAGTTTCTACATCAAGTCACTATATTTGTATGCACCACATGGTGTACATTTGCACAATGTGACCAGCCAACCTCATGCAAACCTGTCAGACACTCTGACATCTTCCTGATAGCCATCCACTCTAGTTGTGATGAAACTGCTTTTGTTCTGTGGCATCCTGCTAGGTGTGTCTGCTCCTTGCAAATCACATCATTTACATACCCCATCGCTGATCTGCATGTGTGCCAAACTGCATTCAAAATACATCTGTTTCCATGTCACTAGAATTCCTAAAGAACTAATCTGTAAGGTTATTATATAATGTAATTCATTTAAAAATAAAAATATTAAAAATAATAATTACAAGCAGAATGGGAACAATTTGAGCTTGTATATGTGCTCAAAACAGTCCATTCCCTTAGACATGGAACCTCAGACATCTCTGGCTCATGAATGTCCTAATAAATTATATGTGAAAATCATGGTTAAACATCATATAGCTAACCTTTGCTGAATTTCATGCCATGCAAATCACCTCCAAACTCTTTATTTGATTAGGCTTCACATTTTTCAAGCTGTGATCATTCCTGTTACTCTCATACCTTTTTTCCTTCTAGGAATATGTCCTTCCACCAAACTTTCTTTTTATGTGCTTGGATCCATTAATGACCTTTTGTAGTTTACACCCCTTGTGGAAGGACTTCCACCTGGATGACTGTCAAGACATATTCTACCCGATTATCTTGTCCCTATATCTCTGAATAAAAGCTCCATGATGAAAATTATAATTAATCTAAAGTCAAGCTTTTTTTTAAAAAAATCATTCCTGATACATAGTTCTTGCTGGAAATAAATGTATTAAGTTTAACCTTTTGTTTTACTAATGTAAACAATGCATTCTTATTGATCCAAGTGTGGTGCTAAAAGCAATTGTTGAGGTCCATCATGTGTAATCTTTGCTTGAAATGTTCTTTATCTAAATGAAGACAAATTTGGTGATGACACTGCAGCTGAAAACCCTCAGCGCTGAACCAAATGCTCTGAAATAAAAGGATAAAGAAACTTCTCAGGGTTTGATCCCTGGTCTAATGGGCTCCTTCAGGAGGTTAAATCGAAACTAACTCACAGGGCGCCAGAAAAGTGACCTAAAGTGAGGACAGGAGACTTCAGTTCACACTCGCATACATGTGTCAGAAAATCTATTAAAGAGGATACATACAAATCTGGTTGGATATAATGCTGTTTGCTGTTGTGAAATAAATGTTTTTTCTGCTTTATGTATGTTTGGTTTTTTACTGGTCATGAAAAAAAACAGCTTTTATAACTGGGATAGCTTCCTGTTCTTCTAAACCTAGACAAGGAGTTAAAGCATCAACTGACAGCTGGGTGTTATAAGCTAATAATGTGTGTTAAGATGCCAATCACACATACCAAACGGGTCAGTCTCCTCCGAAGCATCCTCCTGTTTGTCCTCTTGTTCGCTCTGATGAACTCCTCTGATTCAACAGACACCTCCTGCCTGGGCTCCGCTTTAGCTCCACCGGGGAATAACTTTACATGTATATAGTTGCTGCGCCTAGCTCCTTGGCTATCTATTCTCTACTCTAACGTTAGTTCTAGCTATATGAAAGGCTGGAGCGATGCTACATGGTTTCCATTTTGTTTGGTTTCGGTATCTTCGCACCATTCGCATTCTCTCCCCCCGTTTAATGTTTTCCGCGTTGCGGTGTACTAGTCGCGCTCCCTCAGAGGCTCGAGGCTGAAACAGTCGCTGACATTTCGCTCCGTGCCCTGTTGCTGCTTAGACTCCGACAATTCATTTGTCGCCCCCGGGTTGTCCTCGCTCCTGGCTCGAAAGGTGCCCGACCAAGCGGTGCTAAAACAACTCAACTTGTCGTGTCAGTCCCTGGGCGCGGGTCTCCTCTCCCTCTGCTGTCAAACAATTTCCACTCCAACAAGCAGCAGCAGCAGCCCACGGTTTATCGCTTGCAAGCTCCACCCGGTGAAGGTGCGGTGACTAAAGCTCGCGTTGCATTATGGGTAATGTGGTCCGAATGCGAGGATGGACTACATTCTGAAGAAGTATGAAAACTTTAGTTTTTCAGGTTCGTATGTGGCAGTACGAAAGAGGATTAGGGCCACTGGAAAAAAAAAATTAACTGATTTCTACATTTTATTTCAATAGAATATGAGAAAAAAGTCAGAATTTTTTCTCAGAATTCTAATTTTAATCTCAGAATTCTGACTTTAATCTCTGAATTCTGACTTTTTTTCCCCTCAGAATTCTGACTTTAATTTCAGAATTCTGACTTTTTTCTCTTAATTCTGACTTTAATCTCAGAATTCTGGATCTTAATGTAGATGGGCACCATGAGGGAAGAGATGTGGGAGCAGTCAACTTCACTGACAAAGATGTGTTGTTTGGGAGGGCCAGTAACACATTGGTGGAAAATGATGGACTTTTTATGTGCCCGATGGGTCCCCTGTGATACTATTTAATTAATGGAAGAGCAGAAGGTGATGAAAACAAGAGAGCTAGTTTAGTCTTTAAAACAAATATCTCTGTGGCTTGATGCTAACATGTTTGTTTGCTGTCAAAATTGTCAGAAGTCTGAGGTTAAAGTCAGAATTCTGACTTTTTTTTCTCAGAATTCTGATTTTAATCTTAGAATTTTGACTTTAATCTCAGAATTCTGACTTTAATTTCAGAATTCTGACTTTTTTTCTCTGAATTCTGACTTTAATCTCAGAATTCTGACTTTTTTTCTTTGTATTCTGACTTTAATCTCAGAATTCTGACTTTTTTCTCTTAATTCTGACTTTAATCTCAGAATTCTGGATCTTAATGTTGGTGGGCACCATGAAGGAAGAGATGTGGGAGCAGTCAACTTCACTGACAATGGTGTGAGTTGTTTGGGAGGGCCAGTAACACATTTGTGGAAAAAGATAGACTTTTTACGTGGTCCCCTGTGATACTATTTCATTAATGGAAGAGCAGAAGGTGATTAAAACAAGAGAGCTAGTTTAGTCTTTAAAACAGATATGTCTGCGACTTGATGCTAACATGTTTGCCTTCTGTCAAAATTCAGTCATAATTCTGATGTTAAAGTCAGAATTCTGAGTTTAAACTCAGAATTCTGACTTTTTTCAGTAGCTCCATGGATATGATTGTTCCTTATGTTCCTAACAGAGCACTTTGCTCTCAATCTGCAGGTTTACTAGTGGTTCCTAGAATTTCTAAAAATAGAATGGGAGGAAGATTTTATAGTTATCAGGCTTCTCTCCTGTGGAACCAACTACCAGTTTTAGTCCGTGAGGCAGACACCCTGTCTACTTTTAAGGCTAGACTTAACACTTTACTTTTTGATAATGCTCATAGTTAGAGAGGCTAAGGTCTAAGCCTATAGTTATGCTGCTATAGGCTTAGACTTCTGGAGGACATAGGGACCCCCATTTCATCATTCTTCTTCATTCTATCTCTATTCTCCCACTCTGCAGAATCTGTTAGTTTAATTTCTAATGTTATGCTCTCTCTGCTTTTTCTCGTAGTAGCTTTGCCTCGTCTATTCCTGTTTGGCTGTGACACCATCCTGGAGAGAAATATCAGCTGTGCTGCTGCCATCAACACCCTTGTTTATACATGCTGGAGATCGGCCTGTTTTCCTGTGTAGTCCTGTTTCTCTTACCGTGACTGGCTGGATGTGCTCTCTTCATCCTCTGACATGGGAGCTGGCTTGTAGCTCGTCTGCTTGGCTGTGTTTTTCCTGGACTGGGCCACCTTTTACAGTTGCTTTTGTATCTCTACTTCTGTTTCCTTGAACCCCAGTCGGCCTCGGCAGATGGCCGCTCACACTGGGGCTGGTTCTGCTGGAGGTTTCTTCCTGTTAAAAGGGAGTTTTTTCCTCTCCACTGTCGCTTCAGGCATGCTTAGTGTGAGGGACTGCATTTGAGTTAATGAGTCAATGAAATCAACTGGTTTTCCTGAGACAGAAAACTTTGAATCAATTTGACTGTATGATCTGGTGAACTGTAAAGTGCCTTGAGATGACGTGTGTTGTGAATTGGCGCTATATAAATAAACTGAATCGAATTGAAGTTTGTGATGACAGTTGGTGGGGGTGGGTTCTGATGCACCTGCAGCCATAGGACCCGATGACTTTTGTTAGGTTTTGATACTTTGCTAAAAAAGGAAAGCAAACATAAATGACAATGCCATATATTTATTAAATGTTTTCCTATTGTTACTGTAGCAACAGTAACCAAACACACTAACATTTATAATTACAGATAAATAGATGGATACCTTTTAGTGCCTCATTAATAAAGGGCTCTAAATCATCAGCAACATTAAAGAAAATCAGTATATTAAAAAACAAAATGATGCCTAATTTGAAATTTGAAAATTTGGATATTTTAAATTCCTCCGCAAAGGAAGCTATTTATTAAGTAGTGTTGAAAACTGCTGTGATATAATGATGTGCTGATATTGTAATAATCAAAATTAACAAAAAAAAATCGCTCAGTGTTCACACATTAGGAGAAGGATAAACAAAGTTAGCCCAGAGTTTTAAAGTGTCAAGAATTGGAGTGAGAAGTAAAAAGAAATTCAAAGAGAGCCATACAACACAGAACAAGCTTAGAGGAGGAAGGAAGTTAAACATGTCAAAGACCCTGATAAGATGAGTAGAGCGAAATGTCTCTAAAGACCCTTGAACAACCTCCTTGATGTAGAAGAATTGTATTTACACTTCAAAGCTGAAAAAACACAATTCATCATAGAAATTAACCATTGGCCAACTTAATCTTTTACCTATATTAGTCATTAACTGGGTTATAAAATCAAGTAACCCAACATTTTTACGATTTCTCAGAGGTCTAAAAAGGTCTTATAAGGCCAAAATGAAATCCACTGAAACATACAGAGACGCTGTTGTTTATTTTGGCTTTAATGCAAATTTTTTACATAAACTAGCGGCCATGCAGCATGTTGAACTTTTACCTATAACAAATAAAGGGATTCAGAGTAAGTGTTTATGTTATGGTAAATGGTCTGCACTTGAGTACTCCATCATCAAGTCCAGCGACTTCAAAGTGCTTAACTTTTACTATTCATACATACACACATTCAGACACTGATGGTGGCAATTTACACTTTAGCCACAGTTGCCTTGTGGCAGGCGGATAAAAGTGAGGTTGCCATAGATTTGGTTCTACTGGCCCCTCTGACCCCGACCGACTGACGAGGATAGAGTGGGGGCTCAAACCGAAGCTCACAGGACAAACCTTTACCTCCTAAGACAGTGTTTGACTTTTTTTTTTTTTTTGAGTTTTTACAGCACTAGTGGCTCATTTTTATGGACAATAAGCTGACAGGAAAGGGAGAGAGACATGCAGGAAAGGACCACAGGCTGGATTTGAACCCAGGTTGTCCACTTGGAGGATTAAGGCCTCCATACATGGGTCATGTGTGCTAAGCACTGCACCACAAAAGCAAGCTTAGCAAAAGTGGGTGGTTCACACAGCAGTAAAATATTAAAACAGCATAGGTGTTCTTTTCAATTGTTGTTCTAAGCTTGCCCTAATTTATTCAGTTAAGTAGATGGAAAGCCATGTGAAAGATAAATATAATAATGTGCTCAAATCATTTTCAGCATGTGGGAAAACCAATAAGTTTAAAATTGGCAACTGGGTGCTGATCAACTGGAAACCTCCTTCAGGGTTATTATTCTCCTCCTACAGGGAATATAAGGTAAGAAGAAACGACTGAAAAGTCTGTCATAGACCTAGGTTGTCCCAAAGTCAAGTGCACATCTGTGTGCTTAAATGCTTATATGGTGTTCACAATGAAAACAACATGGGCTACATTAATAATTGGCAATCCTTTTGGGGAAAGCCTGGTCTGATTCGGAGAGACGGCATCCATCCCACTTTGGATGGTACAGCTCTTCTTTCTAGGACTCTGGCCAAATGTATTAGACCTCCAAAACCCTCACCACCCAGGGTGCAGACCAGGAAGCAGAGTCGTAGTTTAACACACGTCTCTGCAGCTTCTCTACTGTTACCCACTCTACTCCACCCAGACAGTGTCTTGCCCATGACCAAAATCATTTTGCATTGGGACATCAGTAAGAGACAGTTCAAGAGAGTTTTCCCAGCCTGCCTAAGTCTGACCTGTTCCTAGAGCATGTTATGCTGTGGTAGAGCTGCCCTCTGTCAACAGCCCTGTTCATAACCTTTATGGACAGAATTTCTTAACACCTAGGGTTGAAGGGGTCTGGTTTTGGAACCAGCAGATTTCATCCTTGGTGTTTGCAGATGAAGATGTTCTGCTGGCACCCTCCTGCCAATACTTACAAAATACACTTGGCCAGTAAGTGAACACATAAGTGCAAACCGGCTGGAATAAAGCTCTGCTCCTCTAAGTCCAAGCCATGGTTCTTGACTGAGAAAATGTGGTTGGCCCCCTTCAGGCTCGAGGACAGTTGGAGATGGATTATAATTGCAGAATCTATTCTATTTTGTTTATCTAAAACACAGATTATTATTATTTATTTTTTTAATCTACGTGAAAAAAATAATTCAGAACTCTACCACTACCAGGAAACTACACAGTCATTTTGAAACAATCAAAATAGTGATATACTTTATCTTTTTTTTTTTTTTACTTATTATTGGTCCTACCAATCTACAGTATAATTGAGGACAATCATGTTTTTTTAAGATCGCTAGTTCTTAAAAGAATGTGAAAATACTTTATTCTCAGTGGCATCCAGCAAAAATATGTGCAATGCTCCAGAAGGAATAGCTTATTTGCATTATATCAGCCATGCACTGTGTAACCTGAACTTCTATTTGCATGTGAGTTTTCATGTTTTATTTGACAGCTCATTGTTTTAAAATTAAAGAGGTTTGTTTTAAAAGCCAAACTGCTTGTACTTGATTATATACAGCTGTAATTGAGAACAATACTATATGTACTCTATCTATCCA